CTGAAGGGAGTGCTATCTCAGGAAAACTTAATACAGACACACAGAAATAAGAGTTCAAAAGCAACTAGGAAAATGGCCAACTTTATGGTAGGGACAAATCTGGAGTTGAATATTGTCTTTTAGAACTTAAACGGAAAGCTCGGACCACCACAGAAGATAAAGTACATGAGACTGAACTGCTGAAATAGAATTTTATGACTTCTAACTGAAACATTACTCATCTTCTATGCTTTGTTTTCCAGATTTGAGGATTTTTGTCTTGTCTTTAACTGCCAATAGGTTTATGTACCTACTGTTTGAACAGAATCCTAACCCGTTTCTTGGCTTTAAGTCTTAAGCAAAATACTCTTTAACATTTTTTGGTTTTGACTTATTAAAGTTAAAGCTGTCTTTCTTGAAATTAAAAATATATTAAAAACACCTGTTTAATGACCACAGTAAGCTATTTAGCCTCAGCCAGGTGTTACTTTATAGTATATCCATTCTACTCACAAAGTTTCATGTCTGAAGTCAGACTTGTGTTCACAGACATCTATATATCAGCTGTACTTGCTATTGAAAGTAGTTAGTTTAATTAAGATATTTTGTGAATCAATAAAATGTAGGTAAGAAAAAAGGAATGGAAAGCAACTGTAACTACCAGAGACAATGTGGAAGGAGGATGGGAAATGGCTGAGGGTGAGAAACAGGGGGGGAAATATATTTAAGAAACAAGAAATGGAAAATGTTGATGTGTGTCATGAGCTAGTGGATTCTCAGACAGTTTTCCTAAACAGCTTTGACATCTAGAAGGTCAGAGAACCTGTCTTTGGGGATTATCATAGCAGCATTTTGAACTGTCACTTGAGACACATCTTGCTGTGACCCCACACTTTGATAGAGTCCATGTGCTTACATGTGAGAATGAGATAGAGAATAAAAGAGAAAGACAGAGAAATGAGCACCCTCCATGGAGTTTGATCATACCCTGATCCCTTTCCTCCAGTCCTCCTGCCTATAAGATCCTGGGCATTCATATATATGCCTGGCATGTTTCGGGCTGACCAAGCCAGGGACTCAAAGCATGGTCATGATGTGGGATCTGGGTTCTCTTGAGCAGCACATTAAAGTTGCACCACAGTGTGGGCTACTAAGTTTTACACTCTTCACAAAAGAGATAATTATCTAAGAAAAATTGATGCAAGAAATTTGGCCTAAGAAATTGCGTAGGACCCCAGAAAATAAATTCAACTCAAAATTGACCTAAGAAAATGGAGAACATAAGAATAATCAAAATACTTGAACTATTCAATAATATGTAGTGTATTCATGCTGGGAAGATTTATTTTGTATGCTACAAAGATGTACAGTGATGAAATGTTAATAAAGAAGATAACATGGAAGAAAATAATATGGGGTAATTAAAATGGGATTTTTTTTTAGAATGCTAACCCTGAAAACCTGTGGTTCCATTTGAGTTTATTGGTGTCTTCTCCAAAATGTTCAAGAAGCAGACACTTCCAGTGCTTTACAGATGCTCCTTGGCGTAGGATGCTATTACACTCCAATAACCATTGTGAGTTAAGAATATCATAAATAGAAACTACATTTAATACACATAACATCATGGCTGACCTACTATAGCAACAAAGCCCAACACCTTTGTATCCAGTCGTGAGCCACTGACATTTTGTCCACCCCTTCATTTATAAGTCCTGAATACATGGCCTCGTGACTGAATTTGTGAGGATACATCAAGAAGACCTTCTGGTACTGAATACCCTCTACCTAATTTCAGGGGAGGTGGAGAAATACAGTCCTTTTGCATAACCAGAAAGAGGAAACAGCAGGGTGGGCACATGGCATGAATCTACCACAGCATGGCCAGACCCTTTACACAGTAGGATCCAATGGGCATGCTATATGTAGGGGCAAGACTGAAGATGGGTAGACCCAGTTAACTGACTTTTGGGGGGTTTTTGCAGGTGCTGGAATTATAAATGATTTCAATACCTTTTTTTGTCCATTTTCTTAAACTCAATCCAATAAAAAAATAAATGTTATATTAAGTAATAGTGATTTTTTGAATAGTATAAAACTGCTTATTGTGAAATAAATAAACATTTTCAATAGAACTTTATATAAATCTTTATCTCCTGCTCTTCCTGCTAATCTCTGCAGGGACAACCTGGCTTTCTTCAGGAAATTATCTTTTCTAGTTCTAAATTCAGTCCTAGGTCTGTCTTACTTACAGAGAAAGCCTTCTAAAAATGTACAGACAGTGCATTTTCACTTAAAGATTGGTTGTCAGAAAAGTCGTGACGTATTTTTTCTGTTTTTCTATGCAAATACGTCACGACTTTTCTGACAACCCAATAGTTTTTTTTTTTTTTAGAACATCTTAAATTTTTAATCCTTTCTTTACAGGTTAACTAGACCACTTTTGATTAAGAAAAGTGTTAGTAACTGCCACAAACGAACGCCAGGCGGTGGCCCATGTCAATTTTCCACAGAGTCCTGCTTTGCGGGGTGTCTGATGCACTGCTCGGGGTCTCTGCTCACACTTGCTGGGATCAATCGTGGCAGATTTTAGTCCACAGGTTGCTTTTCCCCATATTTCTTTGTAAACTCTTCAGCGTTCTTACAGAATTTTTTACGGTCCTTAGAGTATTCTTCAGCTAGGTCAGCCCAGAGCGGGTGCTCGGGCTGGGGGTCGTTCACCAGTGCTATGAAGGACTGGATTACTTGGTTGGTTTTGGTGGCTGGCTTCCAGGTTTCAGCACTAATTACTGGCAGACAGACCTGCCCCTTTTCATCGATGTTTGGGTGATAGATCTTTGTTTTACATGTGATCTTCGGTGGTTTGAATGGGTACTCTGCTGGAAAGTTGATTTCGATTCTGAAGGCCCCCTTGTCATATGGAAGGTTGTCAGGAACAATAAGCCCTTGCCAAGTCAATAAATTAGCTTCATCAACCTGGATGTTACGGAAGTTTTTCATTCCACATTTGTGGATTTCTTCAAGCTCCATCAGCCTCCTGCTGGCCGCCATCTTGGATCTGGTGCTGCTGCTTTCCCCCTGACAACCCAATTTAAATAAACTAACTTGTTTTTATTTTTTAAGAGTAATTTTATTTAACTTTATTTATTTGTTTATTTATTTATTTTCATTTGACCAGAGAGGGACAGAGTGAGAAAGAGAGAGAGAGAACGTGAGAAAGCAAACTGCCTGGTCCAGGAACTGTGGTCGGCCATTTGGAGTTCAACATCCTTAACTACCATGCCACCTGCTGGCCCCTTAAACTAACTTGTTAACTTACAAAGTATTTTTTTAAACTAATACTTCATCACCTCTAAGTGTTTTCTTTTCATTTTTTTTGGAGAGGTTTTTGCTATAGGGCATGTGCGCTTGCCAGACAGACAGAGAGAGATGGAGAGACAAGAAAGCGAAAAATCACCCCCTAGGTGGGATGGCCATGCCGCATTCCCTTCTCCTCCATTCTTCTCTCGGGATCTTGGGCATGCACGCACACGTGCCTGGCGTGAGTTTAAGCCACCGGGTCCGGGACTCGAACCGTGGTCGACTATGTGGGAGTCCAGCGACATAGCCATTACGCTAACTGCTGGTCCCTCTAAGTGTTTTCTTTATAGCTTCCCAGTGGAAGCTAAAATGATTTAAAAATCATTTCAGAATTCTGGTAACATTTTTTCTTAAAAAAATAAGTATTTTTTGGGGGGTGGGTAGCATTTAAAAAATGAATTCAAAGTAATTCTTTTTTTTGGATAACATTTAAGAGTGAATTAAAAAAAAAAGAATGAATTCAAATAAAAACGTGTTCGGTGATGACGTTCCAGGCAAAGGGTGTAGTGTGTATAAAGGCACAGAATTGTGATTATGAATCATCTATGCCAGTGGTTTTCAGAGTGTGGTTCCTGGACCATCAGCATTGCCTGGGAACTTGTTAAAACTTCAGTGCTTGGGAGTCTTATGTAGAATGAGAAACCATTCTAGTTTGTCTGGGGCTGTCCTAATTTCAACCTGGGAAATCCCATATCCCTGGAAACTCGTCTGGGCAAACTGTGACAGTTGTTCTAGGCTTCCTTTACCCAAGCCCTCTGAATCAGAAACCCTGACTGTGGGGTCCAGCAGTCTGTGTTTTCCTGGTTCTTGCTGATTCAGTGCTTGCTGAAGTTGAGAACTGCTGATCTAAGGAACTGTGAGGATTTTAATGCAGCTCTGATGGGAGACTGTGAGAAGGGACGAAACCGAGTAAGCAGAAATCAGGCAACGAAGGCCCTTGTATGCTTCGTTAAAATGTTTTATCCTAATTCTGATTAGCATTAACTCATCAACTCAAGTATTTTTAATTGGGGGAGGATATATTTTGAGCTGGATATATCCGTAGACAAAATCACTATAACTAAAATATTCCATTTTATCTACTAATAAAGTTGTATTTAACCAACTCCAGTTTGCAAATTAGTATAAAATTAAACATTTGAAAAGACATTGGTACCTTCGTGTGTACCAGCTCAGTATGTGTGCTTGGACAGAATTTCTAAATGACTATTCATTTTTAGCCTGTCAGACACTATATATTTTGCTTATACAGACTTAATACAACTTTGAATTTTAATAACTTTCTGGAAACAGAAAGTATTGCTGATTCATCAAATATATATTCTATGGAAGATGTTAGGGCTATGAATGCAGTTTATGAAATTAAGGGCAACTGCAGAATTGTTCTATTGTCAGTTGCTTGGACTATCATATTGAAATAGATTTTCCAAAATAAAAAACCTTAAAACAATGCTGTGCTTTTGTTTTATGTATAAAAATTTTATTTGGATGTTCCTTAGAGTTTGCTGCGATTATATCTTGCTTTATTTGAAGTATTAAGGCTTTATGTTGCACAAGGCCTTTGCATATATTTGGACGTTAAAACCTGTTTCTCAGAACTTGAAATAGTATCTCATCACACATTCTTACATCACATGTTTCTTCCTTTACCTTGTGTTTAGGAAATGGCTGGTACCTTGATGATGTTGTGATCAAGGATCCCACAACCAACCACGAATATGCTTTCTTCTGTCACAGGTTTGTAGGTGTGCTTTAACACCGAACATGTGAACCCATTTATTTCATATTAGTCAGTTTCAGGTGCATATCCTGTTGAGACCTAGAGAGCTTATTCAGTATTCTTGGTCGTTGATGCTTTGTTGGGTACCTCTTGTGAACATTAATGCGAGGTGCTACTGCTTCTATTCAGAAAGATGTCTATTATGTTTATCATATTCTTGATGATATAAATAGAATATTTCTTGCTATGTTAAAATAAATTTTGGGGTGTTGGCCTTGTTGTCTGGTGATTAAGGGAGCTGGATATCATGCAGTTCAGGTCCTAGACCTGGTGGCTTCATAAACATGCTGTGTATATGTGCAAGTGTGCTCAAAATTCCAACGGGATGGGAAATGGAGAAGTGATCATGGTATGAACATACCCAATGGGAGGTGCCTTCTCCCTCTTTCTCTCTCTGTCTTTTTCTGACAAGCCCTCTGGCAAATACAATTACTTTTTTTTTTTTTTTCTGTGCAGCCTTAGTGACACAGGCAGTAGTATACCTACTTGCAAGCCACATGACCCTCTATGTTTTGGATCCTAGGTTGACCTGAAACATGCTGTAGACTTGTATGTGCCAAAGATCCTGACTGGCTAGAGGGCTGGGAGAAGGGAAGTGTGGCCTGGAACCTACCCCAACTCTCTCTCATAAAAGAAACTTAAAAAACCCCAAACCAACAGATTTTAAAATATGTGATTTCTCTTTATAGTAAGTAAGCAGAATGAAAGTCTCTGACAAGAAAACATAATCTCTTTGGAATAGGCCTCAGATTAGGCTCAAATTAACAGATGTACACAATGTTACATGTGACTTTTTACACAATGATGACATGGATGACCTACTCTTAAAAAGCCATGATTTTTTTAGTTATTTTTCTAGTTGTGGTGATAGATTTGCTGTTGGTTTCACATTCTGCCTGTTTCCTCATAGAACCAATAATAGCCATTGAAAAACTTAACTGACTGGGGTCAATAGATAGCATAGTGGTTATGTCACTGGACTCCCACATGGTCGACCATGGTTCGAGTTCTGGACCTGGTGGCTTAAAAATCATGCTGGGGTGTGTGTTTGCATGCCTAAGATCCTGGGAGGAGGAGGAATTGTGGTGTGGCCACCCTCCCTGGGTTTGATTTCTCATGTTCTCTTTTTGTCTCTCTCTCCCTGGTGAGTGCATGTTTCCTAAGGCAAGAACCTCTCAAAAAAGAGAAGATAACTGGTTAGTGTTTGAACTGTATTTGGTGATCAAAGAACAAGTTACAATCATTGGTTCAATGGGTGTAAAATCTTTAACATAGGGGTTAGCAGGCTAACTGAGGCCCTCACCCATGGGTTAGGGAAAAAGTTATACCATCCTTACCAGAGAGTAGCTTCTCTTTCCACCTCCTTTGCACAATTACAGCTATCCTGGGATTTCATTTTCCATTCTGTATTCTTATACCTTTACCAACTAGAGAGCCATGGCTTTTTCCATTCCTGTTATCCATTATTCTTGACTTGAATAGATAATTGCCGATGGTTAGCCTGAAAATAATTGATACGGTTTTCTTTGCACAGATGGCTGGATCAAGGGGAAGATGATAAGAAAATCGTCAGAGAATTGTATGCCAGGGATAACAGTATCTTCTCTATGAGTGAGTGTCATGTACTCACATTTCATAGGAAATTTATTTTTATGACAACTGAAGAAAGCATGACATTCTTGAAATTAATGGTCCTCTCTTTCCTTTATCTTCTCAGGGCAGAAGCTAGAACTTAAGAGAAAAGAAACAGTAAGATTTTGCTTTGGGCTTTAAATTATTTAGTACAAACAATGTTCAAAAAGTTATTTGATGTGTTAAAACAAAGTCAGGGCTGTTTCTCAGTAATTTCTTCTCTTTGTGTCGCCTCATACTGGTGTTTTGTTTGTTTTGTTTTGCTTTGCTTTTTAGTGGACTGCAGAGAGTTGGAAGTTTACAAAAGGAAATACTGTCCAGTTCTACAACAGGCTGACCAAAGGCTTTGTCCGTCTGCATCCAAGTGGCACAGTTGATGCCACAGGAGAGAAGACAGACAGATATGGTAAGGTCATTGGACAGAGCACATGGTGCTGGTAGGTCTGGGAGCTGAAGAAAGGCATGTTTATTGACACAGTTTCATTTACGGTTTCACTCCTTCTTTTTCATATGGCTTTATACCAGTATTAGGCCATTAAAGTAATTCGTCATCTACATTAATACAAATGGGAAAAAGACAACAGACTTTAAATCTTGGCAGATAATGTCATTATGCAGAACAGTGCACCATGGAAAAATTCATATTTGATATTATTTAATGGAGGAATAAAACATAAGCATTTAGCATTAATTGCTCATAAGGAACTGTAGATGTAGCTTTTCAATGATATGACCATTTAAGAAATTATATCAGTTCTAAATTTTGAGCACCTATTCTCTACAAAACACCATGTTAAATAATTTGAGAGCCACAGAAATAACTAAGGTATTTTACTGAATTCAGACACTTATAATCTAATGGATAACACAAACACATGCAAAAATTCTAATATTGGTAGTATTGTAATAAAGGTACAAAGGAAAAGGCAGACAAGGAAAAAGATTTGATGTTCAATGTCAGCCTGTCAAAAAGTCCTAACCGTCGAATTAACAAAGAGGTCATATGCTGTGTGATGATGGCAGACTTCTAACTGTAAACTCAAATCTTCAACTTCTTTTGACATTTGAACCTTCACAATTTGAACAAAATTTGCCTGCTTTATCTGTGGAGTTCACTTTGCTAGACGTTAGTCGAAACTGGACTGCTCCAATAGCCTGTGGGATATGTTGGAGATACTAACCTGTAGCATTTCCTCAAAATGTAACTTCCTCCATCTCAGATTAGAGATCCCAGGAAATAATCCAGTTTTCCCTGCTATAAAAATATGTGGTCATTTAATATATTGGCTAGTAGATTCTCCTTTCAAAATTAATCTGTTCTTAGACATTTCCCTAACCTACTGGTTCCCACTTGAGAGTCCTTATCCACTTACATCAGTTCAAATGGCCCTTCACACTCTGACCCTGCACGCCCTGTTGCCAATGTTGATTTTCCTTATGAGGATGGTAAATGGTATTTGCAGATATGACCACATAATATCTCCCTTTATTAAATCAGAAGCTGTAAAGATCTCAGTTTTCCTAGCAGGGAATGTAAGACCACTAGGGCAGAGCCAAAGACTAATTCTCACAGCAAATGCGGTAGCCAGAGCAGTATCTTGTGTTGGTTCTCTGAATGCCAGTCCCGCAGGGTTGTGAGGTGAGCTCTTGATGGTTACCTGCACATCCGTCGGGCAGACATTCCTAAATTGGGGAACTCTGATCTCATATAAGGCTGTTCATTTCTTTTACCCAGAGAATGAGACAGAGATACAGGTAACACACACACACACACACACACACACACACACACACACACACAATCTCTTATTCTGGAATATAAGCAATATAAGCAAACTTCTTCCAGGGAGGGGAAGGAAAGGTCTTTACTCTTAGTCTCCAGGGACTTGTCAAAAGAGGGACATCTTTATGCTTTCCTATGCTGGGATATCTTTTTATATATACATTTCATAAATACCTTTACTAAGAGGGTCTGGATCATGTTGGAATGTGAGAAATCTTGGGACTAGGGAGAATCGTCTTCTAGAACACCTTCTGCAGGCTAGTTTATAAAGTGGTCTTGATACCCCCATATCAAGAAGTGGGACCACCCTTTGGGTGGGGTCAGCCCTTTTTCCAAGTCCTGACTAATAGCATGCAGCTGAAGCAACATTTTAACTTTCAAGATCTGCATCTTTTCCCTTCACTTCTTGGATAAATCCTTTGTGGACCCCAGCCCTGATGCTGTGAGGAGGCCCAGACAAGTGTGCAGAGATGTCCATTCTCAAAGAAAGACTGGGGTTCTGCCAGCCCTAGCTGAGTTCCAGACCTACGGCCAGCACCACTGCCAGCATGCCAGCCAGTGTGTGGACCAGATGAACTGCTAGATGATAGAAATAGAGAAACTTTTTATCCTTTGGTGTTTTAAGTTTCTTTAGTATGCCAGCCCTGCATATATGAAGCAGGATGAGCAGTCCTTAAACAGGCAGACAGGATAATACGAGTAATTTCCCTCAGTGGAGCTGAGGTTTTTGCAACAGGAGGTCTTTTATGTGTGATAATTACTTGCAGTATTACTTCATGATGTTACATTCAGTGTCCTCTCAATTCGCACTCAAGAATCACTTTTCACAGGCCTGGGAAGTGTGATGAACAGTGCTGACCTGTGGGCATCTTTTCAGAAAATATTTTAGGGACATGTCTCTGAGATATATTGCTTTATAATTTTTCTTTCACAAAATTATTTTTGTTTTTTTATCACCATAAGCCAATCCTTCTAGTTGTTAAGCTGGTTGTTAATTTAGCCAGATTTTCATACTCAGAGAGCTAGCTCACTCATTTCTCTGAGTATTATTGAACCGTTTCTTGGCAATACTAGACTTAAAGGTAGACACAGAGCATGAGGAATTATTTGAAATGCCACAGGAGTTTCATTTTATGTTGATCAACTCTTAGATACTCAAAACAATATTGTAATAACATTGATAGAGATAGCTAACCACAAGTCTTCTTGTCTCTAGTTAAGGATCCTACAACCAAAAGGAGAGACCAAAAACTATTCCACTTTAAACACTGAATTATTTGTCTTTTAATGTTTATTTTATTACGTACAGAGAGGCACACAGACAGATAGATACTTCTTTGGTGGCGTCTTTATGCAGTGATCCTCCTCCGAGCCCTGCACCCAGCCGGGATCATAGGTGTGCTCACTGCCAGCATAACACTGAAGTATTTTATTTAATTTTATGTTTTCTTATTTACATATAATTATTGTGCATTTTTATGGCATACAATATGGTTTTTCAAAGCATGCACAGGGCATGTGATAATCAAATCAAGAATATTACCATAAACATCATTTTCAACAAAGAACCTTGCATTCTTGTGTTTGCTGAATGCTTTGCTGAGTCCCTCCCTCCTGCACCCCACTATCCACTGCCTTCCCATACAGACTCTGGTATCTTCACTTGTCCTCCCTACTCTCAGGTTTTAAATCTTTTAATTTCTGCCATAGAATGTAGACATTCAGTATATGTTGAGCACTTATTTGTCGTATTTGTCTTTCGTAGTCTAGCTTATTTCACTTAACATCAAATCACAGTGATTCATCCACTTTGTTTCAAGTAACAGAGTCTTGCTGTTCTTTATGACTGAGTAGTATTCCATAACATTGCACTGAACTCTTAGTGGTTATTTTTGTTTAGGTTTTTGCCATTGGTCAATGTGCTCACTGGAAAGAGAGAGAGAGGAGGGAGAGAGAGGGAGAAAGTGAGAAATCACTTGCCTCAGGGGGGATGGCCATGCTATAATCCCTTCTCTTCCCATTCTCTTCATGGGATTTTGGGCATGCACACACATGTGCCTTGTGTGATTTTCAGTTCCTGAGATCTGGGGCTCAAACCTCTATTGGCCATATTGGAGTCTAGCACCTTAACCACCATATCACCTGCTGGCCCCCTTGATGGTTATTTTGTGTTAATATCAGTTTCACAAACTTCACATCTCCTGAAATTACAAAGAATTTACTATAAAATATAGACTTATATTGTTTTCTCATTTTACATTAGTAGATTAGTAGTCATTTTTATTTATTTATTTTTTTGGAGAGGTTTTTGCTGTAGGATGTGTGCACTCACCAGAAAGACAGAGAGACAATGAGAAATCAACCCTTAGGGAGGATGGCCACATCGCAATCCCTTCTCCTCCATTCTCTTCTTGGGATCTTGGGAACGTGTGCACATGTGCCCGGTGTGAGTTTAAGACACTGGGTCCAGGACTCGAACTGTGGTCAGCTACATGGGAGTCTAGCGACATAGCCATTATGCTAATTGCTGGTCCCATTAGTAGTCTTTAAAGAGAAAAAATTAGTAATCTAGATTCAGATATATTTGATTTTTATTCCTAAAAGAATTAAACGTGTATTTAAAATTTTTGCAACAGATCACATAACTGGAAGTTCCCAATGTGTTATTCTCCTCAGACCTCTGTATCATCTGTGTATGGATCTATATAAATAGTTTCACCAGGTTTTGATAATAGATTTTTTTTTTAATTTTTATTTTTGGAGTTCTTGTTTATTTTGTATTATGTCTTATTATATATGGAAGAAGTGACTACATTTTTCAATGTGAAGGTTTTAAAATATGTCCCCAAATTACTTGACACTGTTTCATTCAAACGGCAGAAACTAATTTCTCCCCCCTTGAATATGGGCTGGATTCAGTGACTTTCTACCAATCAATGGGATATGGTATGTGTGTCTTTCAGGAATTTAAATCATAAAGGGCATTACAACTTCTTCCTGGCACTCTTAGGTCAGTAACTCTGGAGGAAGCCAGCTCTATGTCATCAGGACATTTAAACTGTCCTACAGAGAGGCTGGTATGGCAAGGAGCACAAGCCCTTCCCAACAGCCATGTGAATGAGTCATTTGCTGAGAGAATCCTCCAGTGCCCGTCAAACTTTCAGATTAGTCCCTATCAAAGACTTGATTGCAACCTCAAGAGAGACCCTGACACAGAGCCTCCCAATATATCCACATTCCTGACCTACAGACATTATAAGCCAATGAATGTTTGTTTTGAACTGTGAAGTTTTAGAGTAATATTTTCACACCACAGTAGATCCCTAATACATAAGTTCATACACTGTTCTGTAAAGTACCTGCTCACAGTATTTTCTCACTCTAGATACTAGGATAGGTATCACCGTCCCTTCATGTTACGTATGACTTCTACATTTTGCAGTGGTGCAGTGGGAAGTCCTGAATAGTCAGTGCATTTCCCTACAGTGTCAATATTCGTGGCTCTTTAAGGACTATGGATGTATTTTTACAAACTGTTCCCTGCAAAATTCAGTGCAAGGATTAGGAGAAAAATATTTCTCATATAAGAGCAACAGAGCTGCTAGCCCAGTTACCCAGCAGTTAAGGGAGTGAGATCTTACAAGGCCAACTGTTGTTCAAATCCCAGCCCCAGAAGCTGGAAAATTAAGCCAGGTGCATGTATGTGTGTGGCCCAAATCTGAATAGAATAGATAAATGGAGAAGGAGTAGCCACATGACCATGTCCCATTGGAGGATGCTTCCTCCCTCTACCTTTCTCTCTGTCTTTCTCTCTGGCAAATTTTAAAAATTATAGCAAGAAACCACATTCTTTCATCATAAAAATAACTCACCAAACTAAGGATGGAAGGGGATTTCTTCTACATGGTAAAAGGCACATGTAAAAAATCACTACATTGTAGTTGGTGAGAAAAACTGAAAGCTTTTCCCTTAAATCAAGAGTAAGACAGGGATGCCTCCTTTTGCCACTTCTATTTAACATTTTACTGGAAGTTCTAGATGGAACAGTTAGGCAAGAAAAAGAAATAAAAAGCTTCCAACTTGAAAAGGAAGATGTAAAACTATAGATGACATGACCTCAAATACAGGAAATTTCAAAGAATCCATACAAAAATGTGTTACAACTATATTTCAACATCATAGGATACAAGATAGGCACACAAAAATAATCTGTGGGACCAGCAGATGCCGTAGTGGTTACATTGCTGGACTCCCACATGGTCGATCATGGTTCAAGTCCTAGACCCAGTGGCTTCAAAATCACACCGGGTACATGTGTGTGTATGCCCAAGATCCTGGGAGGAGAATGGAGGTGAAGCAATTGAGACATGGCCGTGCCCCCCGGGAGGTGACTTCTCACTGTAGCTGTCTTTCTTGCCCACACCTTAAGACAAAAATCTCTTAAAAAAAATTGTAATCCTTTGTAGAAGCAATGAACAATCCATAAACAAGATCAAGAGAACAACTCTATTTTTAATATAAAATTCTTAGGAATAAATTTAATCAACAAGTACAAGATTTGTATACTGAAAATTATGAGACATTTTTGAAAGAAAAAAAGAACTAAATAGGTAGAAAGGCATGCTATGTTCATGGATTAGAAGTCTTAATATTGTTAAAATAGTAATGCTCTGGCACTGTCAAATGGCATGGTGGTTAAGGCAGCTGGACTCCCACATGGCTGACCGCAGTTCGAGTCCCAGACCTGGCAGCCTGCTTTCTCACTTTCCTTCTCTCCCTCTGTCTCTCTCTGGTCAACTTCAAAAAAAGTAAATAAACTAAGTTTTACAAAATGACAATGAATAAAATTAAACAATAATTTTTTTCTTTTCTTTTTTTTTTTTTGAGAGGATTTTTCTGTAGGGCACATGTGCTCGCCAGAAAGACAGAGA